AAAACCTTGCTAAGAAAACCCAGTGGGAAAAACATAGCTAAGGAAAAGAGTACAATGTGTTTCCAACTCCCCCTGATCATCACATCACTTGATTTCCTTAAAGCGTCGCATTCCAATATTTCGTACCATGTTTTCAAATTTGGATGTAGGGAGCGCTTTAGTGAACAAATCTGCCAAGTTGTTACTTGATTGAATTTTATGGATGTTGATGCCACGCTCTTTTTGAAGATCATGAGTAAAAAAAAAACTTTGGTGATATATGTTTGGTTTTGTCTCCTTTGATAAACCCTTCATTGAATTGGGCTATACAAGTCGCATTATCTTCATATAGTATGGTTGGAACGTCCCTGTTAGAAGTTAGACCACAACTCTCACGAATGTGATGAGTTAAATTTCTTAACCAAATACATTCACGGTTTGCCTCGTGAATTGCTATAATCTCTGCATGGTTAGAAGAAGAAGCAACTAAAGTTTGTTTAAGAGAACGCCAAGAAATTGCGATACCTCCACAAGTGAATAAATAACCTGTTTGGGATCGAGCTTTGTGTGGATCAGACAAATATCCAGCATCTGCATAACCAATTAACTCCGCATTTGATGAATTTGAATAATATAAGCCCATATCCATTGTACCTCGAAGATATCGAAGAATGTGTTTGAATCCATTCCAATGTCTTCTTGTTGTGCAAGAACTATATCTTGCTAATAAGTTTAAAGCAAAAGATATACCAGGTCTCGTATTATTAGCAAGATACATTAGTGCACCAATAGCACTAAGATATGGTACTTCGGGACCAAGAAGTTTTTCACAAGGCCGAAACTGGTTCTTTTTGGCATCTAAATGCCTTACTACCATCGGGGTACTTAATGGATGTGAGTTATCCATATAAAACCTTTTAAGCACTTTTTCTAGATAACTATATTGATGTACTAAAACTCCATTTTTGGTGTGCTCAATTTGAAGACCCAAACAAAATTTCGTTTTACCAAGATCTTTCATTTCAAAATTTTCTTTCAAACAAGAAGTGTCATTTTCCAATACTCCAGGAGTTCCAATTATGTTCAAATCATCTACGTAAACAACAATTATCACAAATTCTGATCCGGATCTTTTTATGAATACACATGGGCTTAATGGATCATTTTTATAGCCCTCTTTTAAAAGAAATGTACTTAAACAATTGAACCACATACGGCCAGATTGTTTCAATCCATACAAAGATTTATTTAATTTTACCAAATATACTTCACGAGAATTAGAAATTTGTGCTTCTGGCACCTAAAACCCTACTGTGATTTTCATATAAATATCATTTTCAAGTGAATCATATAAATAATCGGTAAATACATCCATTAGACACATCTTCAGTTTTGCATATGTTGTTAAACTCATAAAATAACTGAATGTAATTGCATCAACTACCGGAGAATACGTTTCTTCATAATCAATTTTAGGTCTTTGGGTAAAACCTTGTGCAACAACTATTGCTTTATATCTCACAACTTCATTTTTCTCGTTTTTTTTTTTTTTTTTTTTTTTTTTTTTTTGCGCACAAATACTCATTCGTGTCCCACTGTTCTTACTCTATTTGGTGTACGGACTACAGGTCCAAAAACTTTTCGTTGAGTAAGAGAATTAAGCTCTTTGTTTATTGCATCTTTCCATTTTGGCCAATCTTTTCTATTCATACATTACTCAATAGATTTAGGTTCAAGATCCTCATTTTCTTTATAATCGCGCGCGGAACATGATATGAAAATTATCATCGATGTCTATCTTCTTTCGGTTTCATCTTACTTGTGTCATGACATAATTTATTGAGATCTCATCATTTTCATTTTTTCAGGTACCTCAGTTTCTTTTGTTATGTCATTGGGCTCTTCTGGAGCTTCATTAATCTTTTCAAAAGATTCTGTTTTCTCTTTTGGACCATCAATTATATTTGGTCCCTTTCGTTTTCAAGGATTTTTATCGTTGGAACCGGTTGGTCTTCCACGCTTCAGGCGTGCCTTTGATTCATTTGTAGTTGTATTTTTTCCTTCTGGGATATCAATTCTAACTTGAGGAAGTATAGTTGGTACATGAGACTTTGTTACCCACTTAGGGTCAGTAAATGCTTCTGGCAATTGATTTGCTACATTTTGTAAATGAATTATCTTTTTTATTTCAAGTTCACATTGACTTGAACGAGGATCTAAAACTGAAAGTGACAATTCCTTTCAAGAGATTTTATTTTCCAGCTTCTTTATTTCTCCCCCTAATGTTGGAAAATATGATTCATCAAAATAATAATCATCAAATATAGTTGTAAATAAATCTCTAATTGATGATTTTAAATATTTTACTATAGATGGAGATTCATATCCAACATAAATTCTCATTCTTCTTGAGGACCCATTTTTATGAAGTGAGGTGGAGAAATGGGTACATAAATTATACATCCAAACATCCTTGGATGGTAAATAATTGGTTACTGACCGCAAACCAGTTGAATAGGGGAGAACTCATGATAAAAAGTTGTAATTATGCATATAAATGATGTTGCATGTAAAATTGCATGCCCCATGTCAATATAGGAAGTTTAGAATGCTTTAGTAATGGTCTTGCAATTAATTAAAGGTGTTTGATTAACGACTCAGCTAAACCATTTTGTGTATGAACATATGCAACATGATGTTCAATAGTTTTCCTAAACGACATGGAATAATCATTAAAAGCATATGATGTAAATTCTCCAATATTGTCAAGTCAAATTTTCATAATTAGGTAATCGGGAAATTGTGCCCTTAGGCAAATTATTTATGCAAGTAATCTTGCAAAAACCAAATTATGACTAGACAACGAGCACACATGTGATCATCTAGTTGACGCGTCAATTAAAACCATAAAATATCTAAATGGTCCACATGGTGTTGGATGAATTAGTCCATATATATTCTCTTGAATTCTTTGTAAGAAACTAAGACTTTCATACCCAATTTTGTTCAATGATGGACTAGAAATTAATTTTCCTTGAGAGCATGCTACATAATTCATTATCTTGAAAAATCTTCTGGTTTTCAAGGAATGACCACTTGAATTTTCATTTATTCTACATACCATAATTGATCCGGGATGGCCCAACCGGTCATGCCAAACTAGTAAGGTAATATCATACCTTTTTTATTTTCAATAACATGAATCATTGTAATATTTTTAATAGCATGAATCATTGTAATATTTGTATAGTACAATCCGGAAGACAATACAAGTAATTTTTACAAAAAAACTTTTCTTATCCGATATAATTTTTGTAATGTTGAGATAATTTTTATTACCATCATTAGTTGTTTCAATAGGATATGCGTTAGACCGAATATCCTTAAAACTTAATAAATTTCTTGGTGATTTTAATAAAAATAATGCATCACCAATTGTAATTATTACCACTTGTGGTAATACTATATTCGCTCTTCCAGAGCCTTCATTCTTGGTGATTTAGATGAAAATAATGCATCACTAATTTGTAATTAGTGTCCCTTGTTGTAATATTATATTCGCTCTTCCGGAGCCTTCAATCATTTTTGCATTACCTGTTATTATATTTACATTTGCTTATCTAATTGATAAGTAAGCAAAATATTTTTCATTATTAAAAATGTTATGTGTTATTGCATTGTCAGCAAGAAATATATCTTCATTATTTCTTTTGCGAATATCCATGTTTCTTTTCAATAAATAAATAAAACATAAGAAACATTCGACTTAGAGAAATAAATTCATATTTTATTAATTTGAGAAGATTGTGACGACATCATTTCTCATGAAACGAATATGACATAAAAACATAATAAATGTCATGAAACAAAACTACACATTATTCTAATCAATCACCATCCATATCACCATTTGTCCCTTCAGGGTAGACAAGAAAATCGGTAACATCCAAATGTGTCATTCTGGTTGATCTTCATGAATATCACTTTGAATAAAATTTGTTTTGATATTTTTCTTTATATTTTAGAGAATCTTGATAAGGATCAACAAAATGCTTTAGTAAGCAGCATGTACAAGACTAATGATTGGTCATTCCACATCAATGACAAACATTTTCAACCTTTTTTTTTGCCTTGACCACTTTTATCATTAGGATGTGGATTTTTGCTATTTTCCAACTTCTGGTGATTACTTGTAATATTGTTATTTTTATGATGATTATAATAACCTCCACGACCTCGGTTAGACCCATGACTATTATGATTATATGATGTTGCATTCACTTCAGGGAATGCACTAGAACCGGTCACGATTAATTGGTGATTTTTCATCAATAACTCATTGTCTTGTTTAGACACAAGTAGACATGAGATTAATTCATATTTATTTTAAACTTTTCTCATGATATTGCTACTGCAGGAGAATGTTAGTACTATGAAAACTAGAGAAAGTTTTATCTAGCATTGTTTTCCATAATGAAAATAGAAATCAAAATAAAGACTTGTATGTTAAGGAATTGTTAGTTAAGAAATTCCATAAAATAAGTTGTAAGTATTGTACATGAAAAATTATAAAAAATACATACCTGAAAACTACAAGAACAATAAGGAGTTAGAGCTCTATGGTAGAATCGTGCTGATAACGTGTTATAAAATATGATCAAATAATAATATAAATTATAAAGTAAAGAAAGACATAAGAGTAGAGAGAACTTCTATTCCAATATTTGTGATGAAATCATCAAGTTTCTAATACATATGGCTCACTATTTATACTATCCAAATAAAAAGAAAGATGAGCTATAATATGAATGCACATTATGATGATGTATTATTACATTCATAAAACACATTGAAATGGTTGTTACTAATGCTAAATAATGATGGAGAGTTATGGGAGAAATGGAGAATCCAATGGTCATTCACAAACTAATATTTCATAACAATATATATATATATATATATATATATATATATATATATATATATATATATATATATATATATATATATGAATTAATTTTGTCAAGTCTCTTTTTGTTTTGGGGATATTCTGAATTGGATCCCCAAGAAAATGAAAAAATATTTACATTTTTTCATAGAACAAGATGTAAGCCTCACATGCGAAAACGTCCTCCAAAGAAACCTGTCGGACATGAGCATCACTAGCATGATACCAAACCCAGTCATCTTTTAAACCGCCTCTCACATACGCCACGTAATGCCCTCCCCTTGCTGACCCTGAATGCTCCACCACCCCTATCAACCCGTATTGATATCTCTCTCCCCCTTTATCTTTACAACAACTGTACCAATCATATCACACACCAATTTCTTTTTTAAATATTATGTTATGTTGTATACTTTTAAGTTTTTGTTTCTTTAACTCTACTCTATTGTTTATTTTTTTATTGTTATTATTATCAACTATAAATCTATAATGGACTTTTATTTACGAAAATAATAATTTTAAAGATAACAGAAGCATGTTAAAACCCAAATACTAAATTTTGAGATGGAACATAAAGGCTCTCAAAAATTACATTTTTGGTCCTTAGGTTTAGATGTCTTTCTGAATTTAGTCCAAGAAGAATTTTTTTTCTCCTTTTGGTCCCTGTTTTACTGTTCTGTGACACTTTCGGTCCCCAGGTCCCTAAGTTAGCATCCCATCTGTTAATGTTACAAAAAATGACCATTTTGCCCTTCATCTCTTTGTCTACATTATGTGAAATTGGTTGGACAATTAGGTATAGATGAACCTGGATGATGCTGGTATGCTGTACCATCTTCCAACATATAGATTTCGACTAAGTATTGGAATTTTTGGGTTCATAAAGCAAGAAGAATAAAGATGAAGAAATGGGGGCAAAATGGTCATTTCTAAGAATTAACAGATGTGTTGTTACTTGTTAACTTATATGACATGGGGACTACAAGGCAAAAAGATTTCTTTTTGATCAATTACCAAAAAATCACCTAAGCACAGGAATAAAAACGAATAAAACAGAGAACCATACCTTGGATCCATGTATGGCTCAAGATCAATGGTATCTTTGAAATCAACATGACCATTCAATTTACTTAAACGCCCCCGAGCATCTTGACTTAACCTCTTCAAATGAATGGTCAAGATTGGTGGGACCTTGCTAATAAGAATCCTCTTAGATGCATCCCTTATCACCTTCACACTACTAGAATCCACCTCATCTTCAACCCCATTGGAATCATGTCCATTAGAATCTGTAACTGAACTTTGATGATGTGATGATAATCCTGAATTCCCACCATTTTCCTCACTTCCCCTTTCTTCCATCTCAGATGCTACTCCATTCCCATTCCTATTTCCATTTCCATTTCCATTTCCGACCCCATTTGGAACAGAGTCTTCAACCCCAGAATCAGAAGGAATACTTTGGATTCCGTTTCCATTCGGAAAAGAGTGTTCAATGCCAGAGTCGGATGGAATACCAATTCCGATTCCATTTGTCTTGTTCTTCAGCCTTGTCCTCTGTTCCAACAATGCTTTTGTACACTGCTCACACTGCCAAGCGTGATCGGTTTTGGAAAGAATCTCAGAGGTTGTGAAATAAGCTAAACATTTATCCACTGACACCTGGCAATCACTGTTATCCAACTCATCGGAATCAAAATCACTGTTGTTTTTAACACTCGGCCCAGAAACAACCTCAACCTCAGGTTCATCAAATAAACCCCCAAATCCATCAAAATCCGAAGCTTCTTCTGCAATCTCATTCCCATTACTAGTTGACGTTAGTTCTTTATAAGGAAGCAAAAGAATCTCCGATTCCTGAACTCTTGGTGCCTCGTCTATGTCTTCCCAAATATGTTCGTTACCATCTCCGGAATCTTGGATTCCATTCCGGGACACCATATCATGATCATTAGATGAACAAGGGTCAAGATAGTCCAACCACGAATCACTTGATGCCTTAGTTGGCTCCAGATAATCCAACCATGACAAGATATCAGATGAATTAGAGTTACCATTGCAATCATCCGGCGGAATCCCTGATTCCGTGATTGTAATTCCAGAGATTTTTTCCATTATATCCTCTTGAGTAGCAGGTGGTGAGGGATCAGAAGCTTTATGAACTTTTGTTTCGATTTTTTCACGTCTTTTTGGAGGTGTGTTTGGTTTCTTGGACTTAGAAACTAAAGGCATCTTTTTAGATGTAGATTTTTTTGTAGGTAATGGTAATGAAAGGTCTAAATAAGGTTCATATACATTTGAAGTATGCCCACATTCCAAACAACTAACACTGCTACAAATTTGTCCCCCAAAAAGGGCATCAACAAAAGTAGGATTCTCTTTTTGGACATTTTTATCCTTGCTACACTCCTCATTACACAATCCATCCAACAAAAACCGAAGCAACTCATGACTATCTTGTTGTTGGTACCCTTTAAATTGAGAGGCCATAGTGCAAATCGAGTTGAAAAGAGGCCGAGGGTTGATTATGCTTTTGTCAATTGTTGAAGGGTTAGTTTTGACAAAAAGTTTCTTTAAAGAAACCGAAAGAGGCCCAACAGGTGTCTCCAGTTTCATGAAGTGATCCCGTAGTCTATCCATTGCTAAAAGATTTTGCAATATTGAGTTGAAGAAACAAGTGTTGCCTAAGTTATTCAAACCTTTTACCATATAGAATCCACCACTGTTTTCTGGAGTAATTTCGGTATTTACGGATTTGACCTCGGTTATTACACTTCCATTTCCAAACCAAACATCCTCAACATCTAGAGTGTTTTTTTCTGATGATGGGCGAGTTTTTAGTACTTTCACAACACTAGAAAAAGCATCTTTTTCGTCTCCATTTTCTTCTGAAACTTGAACAGGAATAAGGGTATTACAAGGGAAACAAAAACGAAGATTAGGGTTTGCAAATTGGATAGCTAAAGGGTGATGATTTTGTTTGGAATGTCTGGTTGCATGTGTATGAGGTACTGTAGGAAACCCAATACCCCCACATGTAAATTGTCCACATTCTAAACATACCCAAATGGATTTGGAGTCGGATGTTGAACCACTTCCTTTTTTCTTGTTATGTTTGCCTCTTGGTTTACTTGCCCTTCTATCAAGTACCCCTTCCCTACAATCATCACATTTAGGAGACTCGAGAGATGTTATCTTTGAAGAAACTTTGTCCAAATTTATGCCTGTTTCAATATGTGGACATAGTCTTTTTTCTTGTTCAATTGTACCTCCATCAACTACCATTGTTGGAATTTTTTCTGAAATGTTGTTTCGAGAAGAGGTTGGAAAGTGTTTCTCCTTTTGAGCATTTCGGTTTGTTTTCTTCTTAAGTTTTTTCCCCATTTGTCCCTAAAAGGCATGGTTTGGTAATTGGTAAGAAGGGTGACAATTATTGTAAAAATAATTGAAGTAAACAAACAAGAACAAGATCATAATGATTGCCCAAGATACTACTAACAACAACTATTGTTGCGTGTTTGTCAAGTTGCAACAGTATTGTTGGCTTGTTCATATAAGAGCATAAATCATAATGCTTCAATTTTATTTGTATTAACTTCTTTATGTAAATGGTTGTCTATGTAAGGATTAGATGACAGAAGTTAGCATAAATTTTTCACAAAGTTGGTGTCATATTGCAAGTCTCCAGTAAACTGTGCTTGCATAGAGAAAAGATCCCCACCTCCATGAACAAAATTAAAAGAGATTATGCCTTGTAAATCATATGAATGTTAGCTGAAAACTATCAGACACGAACTCTTGGTTTTATAATGTCAAACTGTGAGGAAAAGCAGCGAAACAATTAACCAGATCGTATTTATTTGAACAAGTGGCGCCGAGGATTTCAAATCTGTAGAATGCAGCCATGAAAATTTCTTATGGCTATCAAATTACCAGTAAAATTTCGAACTAGTGTTCTCAATCATAAATACATTAATAGAAAAGATAACATGCATGCCAAATCCGATGTTCGTATCTGCTATCTGCTTTCAAATCTAGGCACTAGGTAAGTAATCAACAATTAACACCAACAGAAACCAAAAGAAATGAAATGAACAATCAAGAAACACTCACCAATTCAAGTTTCAAATTACAAAGTTTAAAGTAATCAGGAAAGTTCAGATGACTAGATTTACAAAAACAACTATAAAAACTTACTTGGTCGCCGCCGGAGAAGGAGGTCGACTTCACGGGAAAATAGGGATGAGATACCGGCGATCAGATGCCAGGATGAGGAGATTCCGGCAAGCAGCTAGTGGGAGCGTCTCGATCTAAGGCTCGGTCCAAGTCCTCGATTCTGGACTGTGGCCGAGCTCGAGCAGACAAGGGGGTGGAGGTGGAAGAGAGGGTTTCTTTGAGGCGGTGACTGATATTTCTCTTCCCATCATGTATTATTACTAAAGTTTCTAAAACTCACAATCCCAACACTCTTCTGAAAAAATGATAAATTATTATTTCTAAAAATAATCATTATGTTATTCTCCTCACTATTGATATCATTATATTTTTTTTTCGTTTAAATTAATAATTCACAGCTAGATAACTCACTAAAACCAATTGTTTAATGTACCTATTATTATTTATTAACAAGTTTTATATAATTAATAATAGTTTATAATATGTAAGAATTATGTTTACAAAATTAATTAAATTTTTATGGTAAAAAATCAAAATTATTTATTGATTATTTTAAATAAATTATTAATTAAGAGATATTTTTTTAATTATATATAAAATTATGATCGTTGATTTAAATAAATACATGTAATTATATCATCTTATAATTTGTATTAACTTTATTTTAATTTTTATTATATTGTTATTAATTAAATGCATTCGAGTGGGAAATTTAAAATTTGAAATAGATAATCAATAAATTAATAAGTGACATGACATTAATTAGAATGTTTAATAGGATGATTGTTAGGCGTGTCAAACCCATCAAATAAAGGGGTACGATATATTCCAAAAGAATCTCACTATATTGCACTAAAAGATAGTACAAGGCAAATATGGTCGATCCACAGAGACACTGGATAATTAGTATATACCTCTTTGCGCAAGGTACTATGGTCACCAACAGTAAAGAGGGGGGTTTAGAATGCAATGACTAAACAAACAAATTAAAAACACACGTAAACGGCTAAAATGAGAGAATTAAGTTCAGATTTTGTAAGGACTCCAACTTCATGTATGACAATCCAGCAATGTGAATCAAAGATGACATGACATTTGTTTCGTTTGATCTAAGTTGGTACTTGAAAGTGTTAACAAGCTCTAACACTTTCTATTCACCACATTAATCAATCAAAACAAACTCTTTGATTAATCCTAACCTTACTAACCTAATCTAAACAAGCTCTTAGAATTAGATTAAAAGATTGCATTAAGCTTAATGTGAATGTTCCCAACAACACCCAATACTCCTCACAAGCTCGGGAGCGTAAGAATGTGTGAAAAGATTTACACTAAACTCATTCATAAGAAATCAATTTAATGCTTGTTACTTAGTTCAATTCACAAAACAATTACGGATTTTACAAAATGAATAACTTGAATGACCTAACTCAAATTCAAATGGCCAATAAGAATCATTATTAGAATCAAACATTCGATTGAAGTAAAATCAGTTTCACTAGATAGAAATTAAACACAAACATCAGGTCATATGATTTGATTCACAACCAAAAAGTCAAAACATGAAATTGGAGAAGTTAGGGTTCTAGCCACACATGGCTAGAACAAGATTAACAAGTTTAAAAGATGAAATTAAGTGCTAAAGTTCTTATAAAGAAGAATTTAAAATGTTTCCAAATGCTTAACGGGCAAACCCTTTGGTGGTTGTCGAGACCAACAAAATTAATAACCCTAAATATTACACACTAAAATAGTGTATAGTGGTAAAGGGATCGTATTCACGGAGATTGGTTCAATTTGTTACTTCTATGATAATCTTGGTGTACAAACACTTGTAAACTAAAATAAAAATAAAATTGGGGGATTTTGATCTTTTAAGATGTTTAAAATAAAACTAAAATTACATTAACATTTAAAAACACAATTCAACAAAAGAAAAGTTTGATGTAAAATGAATAAGATAAAGATGGTTGACTTTAGACTTTCATTACTTGAACATTTGGTTAAATAATCATGAGAATACCAAGGTGCAATACTTGTGTTTATAATCTAATTTGGCTATAGCAGTTTATAAGCATAACTTGCCTCAACTCTTCTTTTGTATTAAAATGACTAGAGAAGCTCATAGTACATTTCCTAAATCAATGTCACAAAACTAATGAAGCATGTAATTTCGTGAAAATCAATTAGCATTAGGTTTTAAGAGTCACCAAATCCAAAGAGTAATCTATTGCTTTCATTACCACTATGGAGAAAATATTTTCTTAGTCTAAATGTGATGAGATATAAATCTCTTAGATCGTTTAGATCATACACAGGTTTGGCAAAACGATTCAAACAAAGTAATAAACAAGAGATGGAATCAACAATATGCTTAATGATTCAAATGATTCAAGCCTCAGCAGAGCTCGACAAAGAACTTCCGCTGTAGAGACTTTAGGGTTTACTATCGATAAGAACAATGAACGCTATTAAATTATCTCTAAAATCTTACGTACTAAGATGCATGCAAGCATCTATAAATACTCAGACCCTAACAAATAAATCACGGATGGACAGGCCCAATCCGGATATAAAACAAGGCTAAGAGTCGAGCCCAAGACGCAATACCTTCTGGATCTAACAATCTCCCCCTTTGCGTCAATTGGAACGAGACTATCACTTCTTTTTGCTGGGTCCAGCTGCAGGAACTTTCTTAGTGGTTTCAAACAGACGTGGGATAAGAGCGAGGATAGTCTGTCTGAAGCTAATATACCATTGGATCATGTCATCGAAGTACTTCTTGTCGTCTGCTGAATTCTTCTTGCAATGATGAATGATTCGTAGAACATGTTCCAGGCATGCAGTGGTGTAAAGATGTTTGCCAGCCAAGGCGAACAGGCATTTTTAGCCTTCGTTCCTTGTAAACATGATAGAATTTCTTTTCGGCTCAATCTTACCCATTTGTATCATGTTCAAGTCACTGGCAAAGCCAACATGAGAAATAGTGGGCTTTTTCTTGAAAATGCTAGCGATCTCCTGATCCATCTTGGCACCTTCCATGATGTAGCAAACAAGCATCCTCTTGAAATGATCAATAATCGGACCATACTCAGCTTCGTTAGTAAGGAGGATGTTGTGCAAAATAATCTAATCATGTGGATTCAGATTGGGAAGATCACCAAGCGATAAGGCATGTTCGGTCTTAGCAGAACCCCTCAGCACCTTGAATCGAACGTTCGTGAAGTTCCCCTCTCGAAACGGCTTGAGGACCCGAACGTGGACTATCTTTTGAGCGCTCCAAGTTTGATATTGTGGTTGGGCAGACTTCAGATAGAATTCGACTAGATCCCTATCAACCTTTGGATGAGGATGAGGGATTTCAGCAACGTTATCAAAGGCATGGAAGATGAAGGCCTTTCGGGTCAGTGGCATGTCAAACTGTGAATCGACAGAATTGATACGATCCAATGAGATCACTGGTTCGAGCCACAAAATGCTGGGAGTTTCAATCGCTTCCTTAAAAAGCTTTTCAAGAGTCCACGGAGGAAAAAGGGTTTTCCTACTCTCAAGAAGGTCATGACCCTCTTTCATTTTTCTTTCAGTCGCCTCAGCCTCTCTGGCAACCCGAGCGCTCATATCAGCATCTTTATCACGACCTTGCTTCTTTAAGAGATCTGCAATCGTCTCTTTATCGTCATCACTCTCTTCAGCAATTTTCTTCCCTTTGTCTTTGACACCCAAACCTGAGGCTTGACCTGTTGAAGGAGGTTCGGTTGTTTTTGTTGCTGTAGAAGTGGGAGGCGGTTGAGATACATCCTCTCCCCCTTGTTTCGGAATGGACACGAACTCAAGGAGCCCTTCAATTTTGCTTAGGAGAGAAAAGGCAAGAGCAAGCTTCTCTACGAGAGTATGCCTCACCGAATAATTCGGAATCGGATCATGGGCTTCAAGGATGTTTGAAAGGGCGGCGTGGACATCCGAAACACTTGAAGAGACAACCTCTCGCTCAGATCGAAGAGATTGCTTTTCCTTTTGAGACTGGAAAAGCTGAATACTCTTGACCTCAAGAGCAGTAGTTTTACGAGCGAGAGCATCCATAAGTGAGTTCTCTGCAACAAGGTATTCATGCAGCTTAGACAGTCGCTCCTTAATAGTCGCTTTAAACGAGGAGTTGTCATCACTGAGAGCTTGACGAAGACTGGCGAATGACTGTAGTTTAGAGGCAACTGATTTGGCAAAACGATCAAGAGAGTGAAGCCTCTATGCATTAGAGTCAGCAGTTCCCTGTAAAGACTGCAAAAAAGAGAAGAAGCGTCAACAAATAGTTTTTCGACTTTTTCGGTCGCAGCAGTACATGCCTTGGTAGAGGCATCAATAGTGGCAGTAAAGACACGAAACAATGGATCCCAGGCATGAATCTCTTCCTTCAAAGTCAAGAGAGACCTTAAAGTGTTTGCTTGGTTTCTCGTTAAATTACGATCAGACACTTATTGAGAAGTGTTGAAAGGCTTCTTTTAATTAGGCTAATTTGGGTGGCTTTCGCTTCAGTGCATAATTCCTGATCTTGACATAAGATAGAAATCGACTGAAGTACTTGTGAGACCAATGTGGTCTGATGAACAAATAGGTTGGGATGTATTTGTGGTGACTTGTTGGAAATGTTTGTTTGTGAAATCTCAAAATATTAAAACTGGATTCTATGGGAAGAAATGTCATGGTTAGTAACAATTTCATAAGAATCACAAAAAGGAAAAAGATTTCATGATACAACTACAAATGTAATGGTTGACCGTCAATTCATAGTAGGTATTGAATTGTGGGTTTCACTTAGCACGTAGTGGCACGAAGCTAAGATCATGAACGCAGAAATTGTATAACCATAAACCTCAGTGGTAATTTCTGAGAGTCTCAAGGGTTACGTTTATGAAGCGAATAGGATGGAGAAAAGTATTGGAGACGGTGTAAAGAAACAAAAGTACCTCTGCTGTTAAAATAAGGACCAAATAGATAAATCTGATCTCATGTGAGAAGAGAGTAAGGTAGCTCATGATTAGAATAAATATAAAAGCGTAATTGGGAAGACAAGGTTTGTATATACCAAGTCAGTAAGGTTATTATTCATAATCAAGGGAGGCTTTGGACACATACAGCAACATGCTTCTAGGGACACTTAACTAATAAAAATGTGATAACCAGAATTTCCCCATAAATATCCACACATGAAACTTAACGAACACAAATAATAATAAGAAATTTTGGAATTTTTGATTTAAAGAAAGAAAAATAAAAAACAAACACACAAATTTTTTTTGGAATTTTTGATTTAAAGAAAGAAAAATAAAAAACAAACAC